TTGCTACTGCTGCTAGTGATGATTACTAATTGGTCAAAAGATATTTAAAAAAAGGATATAAATTGTGTGGTATCATAATAATCTTGTTCTATGGCTATCTCGTTGTTGTTTTAAAGAACATAAATTATTTAGTTAAATTTTTAATTTTATCTACTGGCAACACCAATACTGTCATATCTTCTGTCTGTGTCTCATATTTGTCTGTGTTTCAATTTAATTAAACTACAATAATTGGTTTTCACAAGCTTTTTATTTAACTCTAAATTCACAAAATAAATATATTTGTTTATTATTATTAGCTTTGTTTGTAATTATTCATTCGTTTATTTATTATTAAAATAATCACTATCTTTTTTGATTTCACATCTCTGACCTCATTGCAGATGATCGCTGATAATAGAAGAAACGTCGAAGTGGTGGGCGTTGATTACGACGTTCTCGTGCGATACATTCAAAAGCAAAGCCCAGTATTCATTGATGTTGATGGACGAATACAAATCGAAGATCCATGTTCAGATTGAAAATTCATTTATTATTAATATACGATCAATTAAATATATCTAATTCACATTTTTACTATCCGATGGTTCTTTCCTTCGGCGGTACATATTTTTCTATTACAATAGCTACAAAGATAGGTTTATACCTGCTATATACCGATTTCACAATTTGCTTAGTTACATTTATATTTGCGAAGGGTTTGGCTGATCAAATTCAGTCCGACAGAGAAGCTATGGTAGAGCGTGTGAATCTCACCCTACAGACAGTCTCCGAATGAGGACAATCTTGTAAAATTCAACGCCTCCAAAACATAAGTGTGTAATTCCTAATTATTTATTCTAAAGTCCTAATTTATTTATTATATTTGGTTAGGGCTGCACTATTAAAAAATCTTTGGTTTTTTTAGCTATATTGAATAGTTACCTGGTCTTTTTCCTAAGCTCTTTTAGTTTATTTTATTTATTTATTTATTATATACTTTATTGCACCAAAGATTTTGTACAAAAGGCGAGCTTAATGCTATATGGCATTCTATACCAGCTTACCTTGGGTAGAAGAGAGAGTGAATTAGGGGCAGTAAAGTAAATTAAATTTGGTCATCTCATGACCAAATTTAGTTTAAATATGTACATCCTACACATACGCAAAATATACATACGGATTGGCTACGGATATATTCGTATAGTAAATAATTCGCAACCAGCTGACCGCTAAGTCTTAGCGGTAAGCCGCCATAGAGTCTACATCACCTGAAGATTCCTCGTGTAGAGGCGAAACACGTGTCGTATTGTCGTCGATGGTGTGTTTTTCCTGGAATAGTGGTGCTGGGAGTAGTGGTGACGGGATTAGTGCATGCAATTGAGAGAGGGCGGGAGGTGCTCTTCAATCCGGGTAATGACACATAATTGTATTTTTAAGCGGATGGTTGCGAATTAATTAATATATTTATTGTAATCGATTTCTGCAAAGTAACGCCTGATCCTATCAATTATTCGTATAGTTTTCTTTTAAAAATATTTTCGGCAGATATTATTTGCAGCTCAACAAGCAATTTGTTCCAGAGGGATATGGAACTTAGTGTAAAAGAATTTGACATAAACCTAGAATAGTGGAGAAGAGTAGACAGTAATAAATTGAGTGAAGAATGGAGATTGAGATAATGAGTGTCACTACGGAATTGGAATCTTTCTTACAGATAAAGGGGTGAGGAAAAATAATTAAGAACTGAAAACAAAATGGACAAGTTTCGAAAATCTCTGCGCTGGCACATAGTCAACCACTTTAACTGGGAGCGAAATTCTGATACGTGATCGTATTTGCGCAGGCCATATATGAATCATATGCAATTGTTAAGTATTTTTTCCAACCTTATTAGCAGCTCCTGAGAAACGTTAGTGAGACAAACATGGGCATAGACAAATAATGGAAGAATTAGAGATTGGATAAGTTGAAGTTTAGTTAAAGTGGGCAGAAAGAACTTATGACGATAGATGGAACGAAGTATGCCTGTGACTTTACGACAAATCTTTGACACTGGAACATTCAACTCAGAGACAGATCAAAAATTAAACCCAGACCCTTGACACTAGAGTAGAAGGGAAGAAACACAGTTTTCATTGCAAAATGATGGTAGATCAGGTATATTAAGTTGTGACACCAATCGATTATTACCTATGATGATAGTCTAGCATTTACTGGGATTTACCATTATACCAAAGTGTACTATGTATGTGTATAAATTGTACCAAAGTTTTCAACCACTCCTCCGAACCGCAGAAACTTCTTTCTGTGTCTACTTTCAATGGCACCCACATAAACAATTAGATGATTAATTTGCTGCCGCAGTAAATGAAATGTAGAATTAATAAAATGTTTGAAGTTCATGTAGTTAGAACTTAGGTTCTTCAGGCTCAACTCCTTTGTTTTAAGGACTTCAAATATGTTTTCCATACTGAGATGTTTCTATAGTTTTTAGGGCGACAGGTTCAGTGTTCACCTTCGAATTGTTGCGTAAGTTTGTCGCGAAGCGCAATACCCAGGTCGTAATCCGTATCACACGTAACAAAGAGCTACAATTATTTAATAATTCAATCATGAAATTGTTGTCTTGTTTCATTAGGGTTGTCTCCGTCACTTTTTTTTAATTTCAGCGATAATAGTATTGTAGCAGGCTAAGTTTCTTCGGATCTGTTTGTTAAAGTTTCTTAGAAAGTCGAAACCTTTCCACCAAAGGTTGAAGTTGAGTAGCTTGGACGGTTAGAGACCTCGGGAGGCACAGTCTGCAGGGTTGAGTTCCGATTTTATAAAGTCCCAGTTTGCAGCGTGGATGGCTTGATTGATCCTTGCCACCCGGTTCGCAACGTATCTTTCCCAGCGTGACACATCTTCCTGCAGCCACGCAAGTACCACTTGTGAGCCGCTCCATGCTTGGACTGTTAAGTTGTGCCCCCTGAACGCTTCCTTAGTTTTCTCGACAAGTTGTGCTAGTAGTAATGTTGCGCAAAGCAGCAGCTGTGGCAAAGTGGTTTTGTGTGCCAAAGACGCAACCCTAGTTTTTGCAGCATGTTAAGTCACAGTTTTTGGGGCTGTCCGCATTTGCTATGTGGCTGTATATAACGCATGAGTAGGCTTTCTCGCTTACATGACAGAAACCTAATAGTTCGATGTTACCTTGGGTCTCCTCTAGCCATCTGTTTAGTTTGATATTTTTGACCAGGGGTAGTTCAGCTTTCAGTTTTCTCCAGTCGCTTAGCATATTAACTGGTAAAGTCTCGTTCCATTGTAGATTGCTCACCGCTCATACCTCTAGCTGAAAGTGAAACTCTCAGCTGGGACTTAAAGAAAAAACTTTTCTCTGATTCGCAGACCACTTGCGTAAGTTCGTAACGCCGCCGCGCATTAGGTTTATAAGGTAGGTGTATAAGTCATGTTTGAAGAGCTTTTGGCGGGATCGATCAAGTTATGACCCACTTACAAGTTTATCAACGTAAAACTTATTTTGTAGCATATGGGCCACCTCGAGATGCTTGTGGCCGCCGTCTGTTGCGATTTGTTTGAGTGTGCGCATCGCGAGCCGCGAAGTGCAATTCTTCCCATAGGTAATTGCGCATAGTTGGAAGGTTTGTAGTTCCTCAATTGGAGAGAAGTAATAAATAAGGAAGTAAAAAGCAAGAATTTAGTCATCTCGTTGAGATCGACGAGGGTGACGTGACAGTTCCACCCTAAGTGGGTTTGTTGTGCAATAGGGGTTGTTTTTTTTCCTTTCAGAACTCCATCCAGGATGACGTCGGAATACATTTTGGCCCCGAGCAGCAGGTCTACGGGTCGCGACACGTTGAACTCCGTATCGGCCAGTTTTAAGTTTTCTAAGTGAGGCCAGTTAGCCGCTTCGAATATTGAGTTGGGTAAGTTATTTATAAGTTTTCTCATAATCAGTGTTTGCGTCTCGAACTCTCGAACGAGTAATCAGAGTAAATAGATTTGCGGCTAAGTTGTAGGCTTCCTTTACAGTCTCCAGATGCAGTTCCAACTCCAGAAACGGTAGTCATTTTCTGATTAGTTTAAGTATTTGGGCGACGCTCTCCGTTTCAGGTTCACTTGCGAGCCCAGATTGAGTATAGCTCAAAGTATGACGTAGTTGCCGTTGGCAGTTAGTACGTGCAGTTGTACGGTAGTAAGTAGGATCTCGATGTTGCCGTTAATTATGTGGTTGCAGTTAAGTGAAGTTGAATAGTTGAAATTGATAGGCGAGAAATGTTGTTGTTCCTCAGGCCGTTAGTAGTTTCAGTAGTTGTAGGCGAATTTTTCTTTATATTGTTGTGCAACAGAGTGTGGTGTCTTATATCTTAATATGTATAAATTACGTATCACGTTGTTTGTCCGCGATGGACTCCTAAACTACTCAACCGATTTTAATAAAATTTGCACAACGTGTGCAGTTTGGTCCAACTTGAGAGATAGGATAGTTTTTTTGCTCATGAGTGACCCACAATTTTTTTTTTTGAGAATTTAAGGATTTTTAACAGGACATAACAAAAGGTCGTCGAAAAGGGCAGAACAACGTCTGCCTGGCAAGCTAGTATTATATATTATATTGCACTCTTTGCAAGTTTTAGTTGAATTACACTTAGCATTTCTGTGGCTATACAGGCAGTTTTCCCATACATGTAATTTTGCTACTGTATTATTCCGTTGTATAGAATTCATGTCGATGAACTCGGGGCATTGCATTAACACGTGACCTCCTTTGCAGTTAGGATATTGCCCAATAATTGAAGTAGTGAAATAAATTTTGTTGTAAGCTTTGAAATATTATTTGTATGGAATGTATATATTGAAATATTTTTTGGTGGGAAAGATCTGATAGTTACTTGTTTTTATTGGCCTTGTTTTTGTACGTTAGGTATTTCTTTATTCAAATTTTTCATGGTTTCGTATGTCGTTAACTTGCTCTGGAGAAAGAAGAGAAAGTCGTTTAAGTTACGCAGCTCTCAGTGGTCTTATTGTTCTCTCACGTAGTCAGTGTACGCTGAAGTATCCAATTTCTGCGACATCAGATCGACGATGAGTGGGTCCCAAGTGGATGTTTCGATACCCACGTTAGCGAACCCGTTAAGGCATTCGGTTATGACGTCATGCATCTTTTTTAAATTGTAGTTTTCGCGGTGTTGTATTACAGGCAAGTTGAGCATGGTGTTGACGAAAGATGTAAACTGAAGACGCTGACTGTCGTAGCGCTGGGTGATTATCTCCCAGCATAAGTCATAGTGTTTAGCGCCGATGCTGAGATGTTGCACTAGGCTTCTCCTCTCAACTTTGTGTTCAGATTTTGCAAGATCTTTGAAAGAAATCAATTGCATGTAGCTACCCGAGAATTCTGGTACTTCTATTGTCGGCGTAGATTTTTCATAGTGAATATTTGACCAAATTTTTGTGTTAAGCTGACGTCGTAGCTCATCGTTTTCCCCTCCATAGTAATAAACAAGTTATAGTATTGAAAATTGGAGCCTTTGGGTTTTGCTTCCAACTCCCAGTGTTGTTTATCGATAACTTCCCACTTGGACTTCAAAATCAAAAGATTGTCTTGTAGTCTCTCTCTCAGTAATAGTTTGAATGTCGATTTTAGACATGACGCGATCGAGAGCTTTAAAGTTGCATTCTTGCTACTCTAAGAGCGTTTTGACACTTGCGTCGGTGGTGCCGTCCAGCATCCCGGTCAGATCGAAATGCACAGACTTGCTTTTGCTTACTTGCAGCAGTAAGTATTTCATACTTTGTAAATTTTTTTCATAAAGCTCCTTAGTTTTGGTAAAAATATTCCCTGTGAATAAGTCGATGTATTTATCTTCAAAAGTTTCTACTATAATTTTGTGGCGCTGCTCAAAGTCGACCCATTGATCTTCAAGTGATTTTATTCGACTTAGTAAGTACTTCTCAGTTTTTCTACTCGCTCCGACCTTCTTGTAGTTCGAGTAGAAAGATTTGATGTTATTGAAGCATTGTAGTTGAAGATCCAAGATTTTTGGGATATAGTTTTTCTTGGTACACTAAGTTTGTAATAAAGTTAGTTAGTGAAGTAGCTGACCAATAGTTTGCGGTGACACTCGGTGACAATCGTTTCGCGTTGACCCGATCCGCAACACCAAGTAAGTTGTAGTTATTAGTTTTAATTATCCCGTAGTTCACGGTAATAAGTAAGTTGAAGTAGCGTATCTCTTGGATTGTCTCGCAGTTTACGGCGACAAGTGAGTTAGTTAGCTCGTAGACTGGCTTATAGTTGTCGTGGCGAAATGCGCTGAGTCGTGGTGAGATGGCACGATGCACGACCCGAAGGCAACAAATTTCTTCGCAGTCTTCTTGTTTCCAATCTCTGCAAATCTATTCTTCAGTAAGTAGTTCCAGCTTCGAATTTCTCCGTCTTGGAAATGATCGTGGTGTGAGTACGATGTAATTCTTGGATTGTTGGGAGGAGCGATTCGCTACCGCCAAGAAAAAAATAACACTTAATACCCTTTTCTCGAAGGACCATAAAATGTATGGTTTGTAGGGCCATACACATTCAAGAAGTAGAGTTGTAGTTAGTTGATGAGCACGTCAAAAGGATAAGATCACCAAAGTTTAAAGGTTTATTAAAAGTAAAATAGTTATAATGTTTTTGTGGCAAATCTTTCCTTAAGTAGTTAGTTTTTAGGGACGGTTGTTGAAGAACTGCCAATTGTAAGATTGCAGTAATATAAGTAAAATTAGAAACACGCGACACGCGGTTAAAAGTAGGTTTCAGCGTTTACTAAATAAAAATAAGTGGTGGAACCATACAATGTTCTTAAAGTGTTGTGCTCTACTTGAAGCTTGTAAGAAAAGTGATAGCAGCTTATGGCAGGTATTTAATTTATTGCATATATGATATTTTAGTACATAATTAACAAATAAGTGCTGTACACATGAATTATTAAAATAAAACTATAAAGATATACAAAATTTAGGTGTTACTTTTTCACACCTGCCAGAAAAAAAAGCTTTTAACATGCGCTAGGCAATAAGTGTCAGACATAACCTTTGTTACTAATAAGACTTCTAGGAGGTTAACTGACTGGCATGTTAGTAAAATTACTAACTACTAAACAACTATTCTTTGAAGACTTAGGGTTTAGCAGTGAACTATATACATAGCAGCAATCACAATAGATCTTTTAGATCGCAGCGATACTGGTTTTTCTAGACCTGTATAGCTGCTTGCACAAAAAAGAAGCTATGCAGTCTGAATCTATGAATTTACTAAAAGTGTCGTATTGTTTGAAAATTTTGTCAGAATTTTGACTAAGATGAAGTGCCTCGTTTCCAGTAACATGGGTCTCCGGTTCTCTACACTCACCATACGAAACACAGCAGCATTAAGCTACTACTTCACGCTGGTATTCTGTAAGAGTGTGGCCTTTCCCCGGTCACGCCGACCTATTCGTGCTACAACTATACTACTAATATAACTGCAGCATGTCTCTACCACGTATAAACTTAAACTGTCAAAATTCTATGATACGTGTTCATTTTTATACAAAATGAAAATATTTCCTGAAAGGTCAAAAAGCCTGTGTTGATTTGCAAATCAGTTCAACAAATGGGTATAATTTGCTTTGTCTAGTTGTAAATTGGTTCAGGAACTTATGAGCTTTTATCCATTATTTAAAGATCTTCAATCAACAAAGCCACATAAAGTTCTCAGACTTATTAAAAATAATGATTGGCAGGATATTTTTCTCAAATGTGAAGACAGCACTTCGTATCTTGGTGACTATAGGTACCTGTACTATAACTGTCGCTAAACAGAAACGAAATTTTAGTACATTAAAACATTTTAAAATTTACCTACGTTTTTACTATGTGTCGGGAAAGACTGTCATATCTTGGAATATTTTCCACGGAAAATTCAATTGCACAGAAAGTTAAATTACTTCGAATTTATAAAAAATTGCAAGCGCATAAGCCAGAAAGCTGGCCATCTAGGTTTTTCATTAAGTTTGTTGTTGATAGTTCTTTTATCTTTTTTAACAGAAATAATCTGTACAACTAGTCACCGCAGCAAGGCAAGCATAGTGGCGTTGTCGAGCGCAACAGAGTAGTGCGAGCGGAATGGACAACATTTCTTTAACGCAAATAAGCAGAACAACTGCTATGGCAAGAGCGACAGACACAACTGTGCTTGCCCCGCATATACACCTGTAGATATTTGAAAGTTCTCATACTATTTAAAATCAAGAAAAAGCAACTAAATAGTATAGGAACACTAAGGTTTTGTATTTAGCGGGGCGCTACTATGAAATCTCGGACCACCTAAAATTTTTGCTAGGGCCGATTGATAGATTGGAACGTCAAACATCTCAGTCTCCTCTGTGACCATGGGTGCTGTAAGGCACTGGTAACGACGGGAATTAAAATATAAGTTATTTAAACGCGATCCTAAGACACGAAATAGTTTTATTCAATACGTATGTGGTTCGTAAATTCCCTTAAAACTTTAAACAATTGTCCCTAATCATTTAATCATATAAAATATATACATATTATATTATTGACATAAATGCAACGGTTGTGTTTAATCATTTCAGTCGATAATAATAAATGAGACATTATTACGAGCCTTGGTATATTTAGGCTTAGCTAGATATTAACAGGGAAAGATATCGCTTACACTAACCTATCACATTGTAGTATTTGATCGGTAAATATAATAGCCGTTGGTTTATGTCCAGACATTAGTTATTGAATAATTTATCCGTAAATGGCACCCCGCAATGTTATCGTGTCACAAATAATGATAGTAATATTCATACGTTGTTGTGTGGGAATCGAACATATTATTATGGGAAATTTGCTTAAATTCTTATTAACTTTGTTTTGTTTTTCTCGCAGACATCAATTAAATTGTTAATATGTACATTGAATTTTATTACGATAAGTTTGATCCATAGACTGGTTATACTACTGCGTAGGATTGATCATTTTCTTCTTATTTCATATTTATAATTCTTTTTTGCTGTCAATTGTCATCTGTCTCACAGTCCTGAGTCCGCTGAAAATCAGCGATGCGAACTGACTTTTAACATTAATTCATATACAGTGTGTCCAGTCACGGACTAGCGATATTCTAGGTACTTATAATACAGCTATTTTAATACAAAAATACACTACACACTGAGGTTTAATCCCCTCCCCATCTATGTGGCGGCCATTTTTTTTTTCTAGAAATATTCTCTACGTGTTTACAAAAAAATTTATATCTCTCAAAGTTTTGGTCTTACTGAGATAAAAATTGGCTCATTCGGAAGGCAACAACATTGTCTATCGTTTACGTTACGAAAAAATTGTTTATATACTCGTATCTTTAAAGAAAAAAAATTAACTTCAAATAAATATCAAAAATTATGCTCATCGGCTAATTATTGTAAATTACTGCAAAAACAACCCCGTTTACCCTGTTTATTTTTTACGACAGATTTTGAGTTAAGCTACAATACAACATAAAATTTACAGCTGTATGTTTATTATTTTAAGAATTATTGTTGTTTGAACATAGCGTATGCGCAAACACAAAAGGCCTTTGAGTTGTCACTAGACAAAAATATCGCTAGTCCGTGACCGGACACACGTATATAACCAACCAGAATATAACATATTATGTTAATTATTTCTTATATTTTTGTAAAGCTAAGAAATATTTTTTTCTGTTGTCTATTTTTTATTCTATTGTATGTTTCAATTCAACGTCTTTCTTTAATTGCATTGAAAGTACCATTTTACCACGGGCTTCTCGGTAAAGGAGGGCATGCTGCATGTCTGAAAAATTGAAAATGTTTGAAGCATTGGAGCACCGCTGCGAACTGATTGTTCCACCACTCTTTTAGGATCTGGAGGAGGGCTGTCTCTAGTAGTGGAACATGGTCAGTAAAGTTCTTAATAAAAAAAGTCATGTAACGATAAGTTTAGGATTTTTTTTAAAGACGAGGGCCAAACGATGCAGCTCACCTGATGGTAAGTGACTAGCACCGCCCATGAACAACCGCAAAACCAGAGGAATTGCAGCTGCGTTGCCGACTTTTTAGTAAGCTATTTTCTTGAAGATCACTAAGTCACATCAGTACTGTTAATACTCCCTACTACTGTTCGTTGCTATTAAAATTTCACAGGAACTTATTATTTTTGTCTATAATAATCATTGTTATTGATATGTCACTCACTACCGTCTACTACCTTCACAATATTCTTTCTTTGTTAACACGATAGACAGTTTTTCTATAACTGTGCCATAAAAAGAATCGCAATAAATAGATTATTAAGACCTGGTGCTTTTCATATGTCCATCTGAGACATAATTTGGTGACCTCGTCGCGATCACGGAAAATAAAGTTCAACGGAAATATCTGATATAATAAACTATTAACATTTCATGGAAGAAGTTGGAACTTATTATAATTGCAAGACGATTACCTACGGAAGCTTGAAAAATACAAATTCGCCGTGTAAGAATTGGAATTTGACATAAGTGTCCTTATTCCATTTACAATCTTTAATCCTAATAAGTATTGACTTTAACTTTCACTTCGCAATAACAATATCTCAAAAAATAGCGATATTT